AACCCTGCAAACACAGCCTAGAAAACCTCTGGGTATGATCAAAGAACCAACACACAGCTGTCAGTTCATAGTGAGAACTCTGCTTTGTGTAGTATCCATTTTTATTGTTAGAGAAATTGCCTGGAAATAAACATGACAGATTAAAAATGGTCTGATCCAGATTCTGAATTTCAAATTTGATCCAGAATTTTTGCTTAGCTTTCTCCTCCATTGAAATAAGTGGAACTTTTTAAAAAGTGATTTGCTCTACTATGAATATTACTATATCACAGGATCATGCAGCACAAAACTTAAATACATTTACTCATAAATATTCCAGTGAGTTCAGTGAAACTTACTTTTCATAAGCATGTTTAGGATGAAAGTCCTAATTGGCAGAGTGCTGTAAAAACATGGGTTGGTTCTTAAAGTAATGCTGCTCAGTAAGTCATTGCAATTCCTATTTTATAGAATGGAAGAACTGAGCTTAATTAATAGTGACTTGCCCAAAGCCGCACAATAAGCTCCTGGCAAAGGTGTGACCTGAATCCTGGACCAGAGTTAAGTTCTCTCCACCCACTCTTAATTGACTTTGGAAATATAATTATGAAAGACTGAAACAACTACAAGGTATCTTTGAAGGGCTGCATCTTGATTTCAAGCAACAAAGGTGTTTATTTTTCTCTGCCCTGCTCACATCATGTACTGACTCCAAATATTGCCATATATATGTTTATATATTTGCAGGACATAGCATAAGTAAGCTGGATTAGAATCAGAGGAAGGAGAGAAAATTGGCAGAAGATCCATCAATAATTAAGATATGCATATGATGCCACATTATTGGCAGAAAGTAGCAATGAACTGAAACAAGTCCTGATGACACTGAAAAAAGAGAGTGCAAAACATTGCATAAAGAAAGCAAAGGAACTGTACAGCTTTAATGTCAACAAAGAAGAAATTTTAAAAAGATTATGTGTACCTTGGCTCAATTATCACATCAAAGGAAGACTGGAGCCAAGAAATTAAAAGAAGACTGGGACTTGGAAGCACAGCAATGAAGCCACTAAAGAAGATCATCAAGTATAAGGATGTTTTACTGGAGACCAAGGTCAAACTCATGCAAACTATTGGGTTCCCAATGACTATGTCTGGGTGTGAAGGCTGGACAGTCAAGAAAACAAGAAAAGGAAGAAAAGGTATGTGTTTGAAACATGGTGCTGGAGGAGAGAATTGTGAATACCCCTGGACTGACAAACAAGGTGTTCCTAGATCAAATCAAACTAGAACTTTCTTTGGAAGAAAAATGACAAAGCTGAGGCTGTTGTACTTTGGACACTCCTTGAGAAGGCAAGACTCTCTGGAGAAGACAATCATGCCAGGGAAAGTCAAAGGCAGAAGAAGAGGAAGGCCTACTATGAAATGGATTGAGTTTGCAGGAGCTGATCAGGCTTGTCAAGGATGAGACATTTTGGGGGGCATTCATTCATGGGCTCTCCATAAGTCAGAGAGGACTTGAAGATGCATGACAACATATTTATTTGCTTAGATACTAGTGCAAGCAGTGTGTGTACCATGGCTTTTTAAAGGCAATTTGAATGTTCAGATTTACACCTGTGCATAGCATGTACCTGACTTGCCTGACCATCTAGGAATTAGTCTGTTAGGTAAGTAACATATCTAGAAATTGTACAGACCTATTGAAATACATACTTTTTGAAAAAAAAGGACAAGAACTTGCAGGAAAAATACTTAGCCTAGATTCTTGCTTATTCAAATGAAATGTATGTTAAAATAAAAAGGAGCAGGGTTGGACTCAGAATATAAGTGCAATCATAACATTCTTGGACTGCTTTCTAAGGAAAGTTAGACAGCTTTGCTGTCAGGAAGGCATGTCTATCAGGGAGGCCCATGGTATGTACTTCATTTCCACACCATCCTACTTCTCTGCTCGTTGGTTGAACTTAATTCCTAGTCAAAATCAATAGGACTTAAGTCAAGGACTAATTTGTCCCACTGTTGTGACAAAACAAGGCTCATCTAGCTTGGTCCAGATACAACCCACAGTATGACAATGTATACAAATGTAACTTTTATATTTCATTCAAATAATAAATAGCTAAATTACTTATGCATAGTGATTACACTGCAAAATGTGGTGTCTCTTGCTAGATTTCAACTTTACCTTCCCCTACTCTGCTAGCAAACAGGAGTAAGTGTTATTATTTTTTTATAATTTTTTTGATTTATATCCTGCCTTTTTCCTACAAAGGGCTCAAGGCAGCTTACATTATCTCTCCTCCTCCATCTTATCCCCACAACAACAACCCTGTGAGGTAGGTTGGGCTGAGAGACTGTGACTGGCCCAAAGTCACCCAGTTGGCTCCATGGCCGAGCGGGGACTCGAACCCAGATCCTCTGAGTCCCAGTCCCATGCTCTTAACCACTACACCACACTGGCTCTCCTTCACTCATATTCCTAGAAACATGTTTGCTTGACATCATTTCATCAATTCATTTTTTTGAAAAAATCATTAAGTATCTGCTTTTAACCAATTTAATCAAATAATGACTATGTTTAAATAGATTTGCATTTTACAGGAACGTCACTATAGGTGCTTTTAATAGCATTTTTAATGAAAGCAGAATATGTTACGGCTTAAAGGCCAAAGCTTCCAATTTATCATTAATGGGGGACATTCTTAGCCCCTAAATTCCTTATTACATTAACAAAACAAGAGCAAAAATATTTAAATATAAACAAAAATGTCCTTCAGACTCAAGACCAAACTAAATGAGATAGGGGTAGAAGCTGGCCTTTTCTGCATGAATCTGAGAGGGGCCATATTTTTTATTTATGTATTTATTTATAAAAAAGAAGCTATGTTGGGAAAAGGGTTGAAGATGCCATGTGATGAAAGTTAAACCTTGTCATTGTCTAAATTTCCCCTTTAATTTTGCCTCATGGACAAACAATGTCTTTGGAGTCAGATAGTACTGAGGTGGGGTGCTTTTCACCAGCAAGACGTGGGGCGCATGTCCCATGCACCTATACATGGAAGCCCATGTAGAAAAGAAGCAGCTGGAAAAAGCAATTTGGATTGCAGGGAAAGTATTCCATACTTCTTTCCCATCCACTGCTCTGCTGAAAATTTCAGCACACTGAAGCTGCTTTTTTTTTTTTTTTAATGAGTAGGATCTCTTTGCACAAATTCAGATTTGCTAAGAGTGCAATTCTCACTGAAGGAAGGGCAACACAACTTTCATCAATGCCCCCTTTCCCGTCCAGGCTTCAGTGTCCCCTGTAAAGCTACTCTGCAGATTTGGAGAAGCATCTGGAACAGGGTGAGACGTGGTGCATGGTCTACAGTTTTCAAAAGAAAATCTGTTGTAATGGATTGTTCCCAGAGTGGCATCTTTAGTATCCCCTTTGATTTTCTTTCAGCTTTCAAAGTGAAATTGCAAGTGGCTTTTGACAGGCATAGAATGTTTTTTGAGTCTACATCCCTTTAGATTCTTTCTCTGCTAGTGAGCAGAACAGCCACCCGGGCAGGGTAGGAATAATTTATCTGTTCATAACAGGATAGGGTAGATCAGCACAGAATAGGCCACACTGATAAAATGGCATCAACTGGAATTACGGCAAGGTTTTACTTTGATTTTAACATATCCATTTGAATACTATTGTAACTAATTTAAATCCACTGAAGAAATCTTTTCATTAGCATCTAGCTAATTGTTTTGCTTTGAAAAATAAAATGCTAAAGTTACATTGATTTGAGAAGACAACATAAACTGCATGATCAGATAGGATATGTCAAACCCAAATGTCTTCAAAAAGGTGGAAAGGTAGTGTGACAGGAGCTGTAACTTTGGAGATTGCATTGCCATTCTGTTCTCCTCATCACACCTGCAAAAAAGGTGCATTTTCTGAGGCTTCAAGAAAGACAAGGGCAGCGACTCAGATAAACTATAGGAGAGAGTCTGTTTCAGTAATGATTGATTGTCTACCTGTGTGGAAGATGTACTGGACAATGTCCAAGCAATAAATTGCAGGTTGGGGCATCCTGGTTGTTAAAAATAAGGTAAGTACAGCAGGCTGCTCTGCTAGCTATGCTCAGGTGTACATTTCTTGAGGACAAAATATTGGATGGGATCAAAGTACTTGTGATGTACTCTATGATTAAACATAGCTCAAATCTTGATACTGATTTATTTACTGCTCATTTTCAAACTTTTCTGATTGGTGTGCAGCTTCAGGCAGGTATAGGTATAACTTCTGTTATAACAGTGCTGCAGTTTTGGTGGTGAAGTGGGGAAAATACCAAATAAAGCTGTGTCTGCGTACAACCTTAAAAGGCTTTCCAGCACTGGCAATTCTAAATCCAGCTTCCTGAGCTGAGCTGAGTTCTAGAGTAGCAAATGCACCTGAAGCAAGCAAAACTGCACAGGAACATGTAGCCCCAGATGTTATCTGATTCTAGTTCCCACCATGCCTCATGATTTGTCACACTGGATGCAGCCGATAGAAGTTGGATTAGCACAACATCTGGAGGGCCATAAGTTCCCTACCACTGTTTTGGATAGTTAATAGTACTTCACACACAGACTGCAACTTTTAAAGTTCCCCGTCAATATACCCTGTAATCTTAAAAGAGATAAACATCCAGCACATGCTAACCTGAAACCTTCGTGCGTGTTTAGTAATAAATAGCTACCCTACTGTTTCCTGCGTACCAGCCTTACTTCTACCTGGCTACACGTTCCGAAGGCCAGACCGTTTTTCTTCTTCCATACCTTCCCTCTGAGTGAGGGGGGAAGAGTCCAAGTTGGCCTTCTTCCTTTCCCTTCCCCTGTACTTCTAGCAAAACCCGCAACCGTGCTGCTTCCTTAGCTTATCTCCAGGCGGCCCGCAGCAATCTTATCGGTTGCTCTTTCCCCCTTGGCTGGGCCCTGCCCGCCTTAGAGAGCGCGGCGTCCGCTCGCTGCTTGTGTGATTTGCATAGAGAGCTCCACTTCCTGGTACGAGCCGAGCTTGTTCAGCAACTTACCTGCGAGGGGCACGGAGCAGAAACAGCGGCAGACAGAGGAGTGACAGCCCCAGGAGGAAGGGGCAGGGGAGCTAGAAAGGAGCGGGGGGCCTTCTCTGCCTCCCGGGTCAGATTGTGGGGGTTCTGAGGTAAGGTCTTCGAGGGCCTGTTCCCTTGCCTATTTCCTGCTAGCTTTTGATCCACTTTGTCTTGTGTGGCGCCGTCTCTGTCTGTGCGCTTCCTTTTTGGATTGCTCATTCTCTCGAAGCAAAATGGTCGAGGTTTATTGCTGGGCCACCATTTAGCGTGCAGATACATCAGATTGTAAGAGGGAAGGTCAGATATTTTGGAAATGTACAGTGTGATTATTCTCCTGTTCTCCAGCACGAGTGTTATTTTCAGAAAAATGCCAAGAAGATACCTGCTTCCAGATGACCGTCTGCATTGTACATTGGCTGGGATTTCTACACTTCTCCTTCTGTCCTGTAACAGCCTTCCCCAGTGTGGCATCCTCCAGTTGTGTTGGATTACATCTCCCAGCATCCTCCAAGAAGCTGGCTAGGTGTGTGATAGGAGTTGTAGTCCAACATATCTGAAGGGTGCCAAGTTGAAGAAAACTGCTCTGTACTAAGGTTACAAGCCTATATTCACTTGCTTGGAAGTAGACATAGGTTTACACTGTAAATGTGTCGTCTTCAAAATCTCCTTCTCTCACACATTTTGAAACTGAACATACCGATTGTGATACTTCCCTGAATTAAACAGAGATGTTGGGATTTTTGTATGTTTCTGAAACATTACTGCAGTCAACAGAGCAAATACAGTGTTTGGCTATTACTAGTAAAGAAAAGCAGTAGACAAGGTAGACATTGCTTTTATGGATCAGAGAAGAGTGCAAGCTTTTGAGTTACACAGCTTTTGGTGTCGGGTGAAATGAAAAAGGAAGGTAAGGCTAAGTATGTTAACTGGAAAGAATGTCCTGTTGGGCAGCCTTAAGCCAAGTCCTCGTAAGGACACCCATGAACTAGTTGAAGCTAGGCTTCTCTTCTGGATATTTGACTGGTTAATATTGAGGTAGAGCCTTCTCAAATTTTAGCCCAGGGATCTGAGCAGAATCTCTTGTTCACTCTTTTTAGATGAGTTATGAACCCTTCATTATTTCTTGTGGCATACTTGAGTTCCGCTCAACAACAAAAAAGGTTTTTATATAATTTAGTGCTGTATTGTTTTTACCATAATATTTTAGTTTGATTTTACTTAGTAATAATGGTTAGGATAGGGCTGCTAATGTTTGACACAAAAAGCAAAAATATGAAGCCTGTATTGGGCTTCTAATTTGCAACACTGTCAAAGTGGGTGATTTTTATGGGTCACAATTTTATTTGGCATTTATTGCTATTAAAATTAGCATACAGATCAACCATAGATAGATAAATAGATGTTAAACTTAATATCTGTTTCTATCAGGATTGTCTCAAAATCTTAAACTGGTACAAACTTAAATTGGTTGTCAAGTGTTGGGAATGTCCTATTGAGTGCTTTGGGCTATCTTATTTTCTTGTGACTTTGACATACTCAGAACTGAGTATGGTTAAAAAGAGGATAGCAGGTTAGATGGAGGGTTGGTTTGTCCCCATGAGGCTTTTCCTACGATCTTCTTAAGTTAAAAAAAAACCTGCACTTTGTGAGGAAAATATATACAGGCAACTGTAATTCTTGTGTTCTGTGTGTGTGCCCCAGCTTATGGGCTTTTCTCTTAGCGGTATTAAATGGCATGAAATTGACAGCCTTTGAAGTTGGAATTTACCTAGTACGCCATACTTCACTGCACATTCTTTCTCTCTGCTGTCAGAAAAGGTTTAATCAAAAGCAGGCTAGTATAATCAGGCCTGTTCAGTGATCTTATATGCTGATACAAGCCTTTAAAGGAGGAAACTACACAGATTTCAATCATGCTAGGAAAATTGTACTAAGAAATGTCAAAGTTGGACTTAAGCAGAAGGGTTAAGCAGATGTGAGTTTTCTTGAATCCTGAATGTATTAGACTGTGAATTTGAACCCTCAGTATGGTCCTATCTAGAATAAATTATCTGAGCAGAGCATCTGTATCTTTTCCTATGCATCCATTCCAGTAAAAACCTGAATGGGTGCTGTTCATTGAGGCCATCATTTAGTTATGAACATTTGTGTGTTGTTATTTTAGCTAAGAAGAAACTACTTCGTCTGCATCTGGTGCTCCCTTTCCTTTCAGCTGCAGTGGCAGGCCAAATGGAAGACTTACTGTTGTGCCTCAACATCTGGGCCTTTTGCAAGTTAGATTTGGAAGTGGCTGCTGCTCACAAGAGGCCGCGTTGTCTGCCAAATAGCTTGCTGAAGACTGCCAAGATTATTTGTAGAAGGAATCTGTTGCGTAACTTTGTACTTCAGACAAGGAAACAGCAGAAAGAACAGAAGAGTGCTTAAATAACAGAACATAATTTTGTTTTGTGGCTCAAACTTTACAGATTTCACAACAGAAAAGCATATTCAACTATGTAAATACTAATATCAATATCTGAGATTAAATTTCAGTAACAAGTATGGCTCAGGTACCTCTGTACTCTGTAGAGTATGGACTGCAACTCCTAGCAAGCTTGACTATGCTGGTGTGGAATGATAGGAGCTGAACTATAAAACATCTGGAAGGTACCAGCTTAGAGAAATCTGCTATGCATTTGAGCTGGTTCAGTGAAAATAAAATAGAGAATAGAGAATAAAATGGTATACGTTCTGTATATTTTTTTTAAGTCCTGCGACACTCTGGACAAGGATGAGATTCTGACAAATTAAGATGCTGAACATGTAGAAAGGGACAACATTCCAACTCAGTCAGCATATTTCCTGTGATATTTCATTTAGGAGTGCATTTATATACATCACTGTAATTGAAATCAACTGGACTCTGTACAGTTCTCAGTGTCTTTTTTCAATTTGATATTGAACTTTTCCCTGTATACAACTGCAAAACTAGTGAGGATGAAGAAACACATCAAATCAACATTCCGGAACACATTATTATTCTTTCAAACTTGGCAAGAAAATTAACCATGAAGAACATGCACTTCTTCAAATTAAATACATGGAATTTTGGACCAGAGAGCTGCACAGGTCAGAATGGAGAAACAAGCATGCACTCAGTAGGAGCTGAAATCCATACATTTACCATTGTGCCTAATGCTATCTTTGTGAAGAGGGAGTTACTTGAATTGGGGCTACTGTACACATACAAAGGGATAATGATGGGCAATGAAACTTTTTTTAACCACAGCTGTAAGTCCACACAAACAATTAGGGAAACGATCACACTTCCACACAAACACCTACCCCCGTATTGGTATGTAGCAGGGGTGACCAGATTTGCGCAACAGAAGAGCCACATAGGGTAAATGTCAGATGTTTGAGAGCTGCAAGATGTTAACAAATATTTATTTACTTTACTAGACCAACAGACATTGCTACAATTATCAGGCTTGTTACTGCTAGTAGAGGTCTTGTGAGTTTCCATCTTGGCTGTTAGTCATTGAAAATTTCTATGACTAACTTGACTAATCAATTAATATGTATTTCAGCCAATGCAGCCCCCCATGTACCTAGTGTGTCATCTGCCAGACATGGGAGGACTTATTGCTGAGTAAACTTCTGTTAGGGCACCGCTATGCTTTCAAGCCAAAATAGCTAATACCCTTTTGGAGTGGAACCTTTCTGTGTCCCTTTTAGCTCTGAAAATCAGAGGAAACGGAGCAGCTACACACTGCTGCCTCATGGCCCAAGAGCAGAAGCGGCTGGAAATCTTGGCTGCAGCTGCTGTGCTGGAAGCTTTGGCAAGGGCCTGATCCTTCCCCAGAGTGCAGGTGTTGTGCGGTCCCCTCAGCTTCAGGAGGTCCCATGGAGGACGCTGTCTGAATTCACACATCAGCCTTGGCCTCAATTCTGCACTTTGTCTGATCAAGTAGATCCCATCCCATCCCTTCTCTGCTCCATGACAGAGTTGAATAGGAACCTACTATACTATAGGCTCTTTTGGTCCCTCTGAAAGCCACAAAATAAATTCAGAGAGATGCACGTGGCTTGCGATCCTTGGTTTAGCCATCCTGGTATATAGTAATCTAAGAGGTTCTTCCTGCCAGCCAAGTCAAGGCCATGACATGGTGATCAGTCTGGGAAGAACTTTTTAAAAATGCAAATTCTGTCAGGATAGCAGATCAGCTCCAAAAGATCAATGTACAAATATAGTTGTTTGTAAAATGAAGAGAATGTCAATCCTAACCACATCATTTCCAAAATTTCTCAGCTGCCTGTCCATTCAAAATATTCCCCATCCATTAGTTCTATCATTTCATCTTCCTCAAAGTGCCCCTACCCACTTTTTTGTACATTTACATGTTACCCCTTTTCTCACAGTTCCCTCCTGCTCATCTTCAGATCTTTTCCTGCAGCCAATTTAATACATTTCATGGTTCTCCATCTGTCTCCAATCATTTCCCCAGTACTGTTTCTATCTGCCCAGTAACCTGTCTATCACCAGCCCCCCATTTTCTTAACCCTAACCTACAAATGGAACAAAAGATGTGTGCAAGAGACTGGCACATTCTCTACACCACATTGTAGACTGTGGGAGTCCTCACTGGATTCTGAACAGGAAGAGCAGCAGCAAGGTGGGGCAAGAGGAAGCTTCTCAAGTCTTCAACTTGAGGAACTTGGGGGTCGTTGGGAGGAACAAGCTGCTCCATTGGAGGAGCTTTGCAGTTCATGCTGTCTTGCTCTCCAGGAGCAAGAGCCACCCTGAGAAAAGAGCCAGAAGCTTTTCTGAAAGGCAGGGACCAAGGGGAAGTTTCCAGTTAGGTTCAGATTTACATGGGCAGAGGCTTCTCCCTCAACATTGGTAGGGGGCTATTTGGAGGTCAAACTGTTCTGTTATCAGGAGAGTCTCAAGAAACAAACTGTATTTCAAAAGATTGTTTTGAGTTTTGGAACCAGAGAGAAGGGACCAGCTCATGACATGTGGATGCTGTGTCCTAGCTTAAACCAAGATCTTCTTTAAATGTATCAAGAGTAAATGTATTGACTCTTGGATCTGGATTATCATAAAAGCAAGTGCCAGAGTAATGCTTTTTTCAAAGGATAAAACAGTGGATTTTTAAAATTACTGTTGTAGTGATTCCTCACCAAATTTAGCAACTTTCTGTTTTGGAGGATGCACAAGCCAGAACTGCAATTTTATAAATAAAATGTTGTAAAACAGCAGTGGGATGTGTTGAGGCACATAAGAACAGTATTTCAGAAATGGCACACTTGCACTATGGACATTATATTAACTCTTTGCCAGCCAGCAATGGTTTTTATGAAAAAAGCCAAAGAATTCCTGCTTATTGGCAATCTGGGAAGTAAACTATTTAGCCAAAAAGGGGGTTCTCTCTCATAGGTTGTTCTGAATTCTTTTTGGGGGATTCAAGGTGCAAGGAGGGGAGTCAGTAAGATCCATTGAGTTATAACATGTTCATAAATTGGCAAGCTGATTCTGCTAAACAAAGTTTGGTATGTTGGGATAATTTCATAAAATAGTTTTTCTTCAAATTAGTTATGGATTTTTAGTTGAATCATTGTCTCTTTGCAACCCTACTCTAAAGGAACTAGAGTAGGGTTTTTTGAACTAAAAGTGCTTTCAGAAAGAAATAATACCCTGGAATATGCTGTTCCAATACATCCAGTGTAACCCAACTGACAATTAAGATAAGATTAGTTGGAGAAGCCATTAAAGAATCTATATTGTTATTCCTGTTCCAGGTAGGTGCTGAATTAGTGAAAAACAAACCTGAAACATGGATTGGGCTGCCTCAGAGCTAGGTATTCTGGGCTGGCTTATTGCCTAGAACAAAAACGGGAAAGTAGAATCTTTTAAAGTCTTGTGTGTCACTGCATCATTTTCATCCAGACCAAGGGTAAACAATGACAGGGGGTCTCAGAGCCAATTCCATACCTCTGGAACCCACCAACCATTGCAGCCTACTGCCACCATGTTGTTGCCAGAATTTGGCAGAAGCAAAATCTTTTTTACTTTTTAAAACAAAGTGCAGTCCTGGTAGAGCCTGAACTTACATTAAAACAAGGTACATGCTGACCACATGCCTTGTTTTAAAGTGAAAAAGCAGCTTTTTGGGGGAGCTTCATAGTTGGTGGTGGTGACTTGAAGGTTGGCAGAGGACACAGAAAAGGGGTGCACACAGCTAGGGGGCACATATTGCCTACTCCTAGTCTAGGCCTTTGTGGTTTGTGAACTTGGTTTGTTTATAGGCCCTGGAATCTATTTTCCCATTTTGCTGTTGTTAATCGATCCTGGCTGGGAAATGGTTACTAAATATGTTAATACCATAAGGACTTAATTTAAAATATTGTACTGAAGTGTCTCTAATGCATCCTATACATATAACAATTTTTATTTATATCCAGGCTGTTCTGGCCTTCCTGCTCTAGCTTTATTTAGGAAATTGTCTGTTTTTATCTCTGTTGTTTATAAATTCTCTGGTGTCTATATGGCCAATATGTTAGCAGAATCAATATTTTGAGAGCAAACACAGTAAAAATAAACTGCTACCTGTCTTTCTGAAGGCATAGTAGTCTCTTTGCAAGGACAGTTGCTAATTATTCTTAATCATGAGTAAATTGCTATGATTATCATATCCTTATTAGCCTAAGGAGATGTAGGTTTAAAAATACAATTTAGGGAACAATCTTAAGGTTCTTAAGTGGGTGCCCCCACGCCATAAGCTGTTGTAAACCTCCTCTGTGACAGAGTGGGAGGTCCAAACTCAGAGGCCTTCCCTGGATGATAGTGGAGCTTTCTGTTGCTGTAGCTACCTTGCCAATGGCAAAAAGGATGTGTTTCAGAAGCAGATGGGGGGGGGGGATTGAGGGAGGCTTTTGATCTGCCAAATTCTAACCCCCCCCCCCCTTACCCAGATAAGCCTCCAGAACAGGTGAAAAGCCCTGTTTTCAGCAGCCCTGATGATGGCGTAGTGAATTTGCTTCCTCTTACAGTCAGAAAAATAACTGGGAAAATGAGGAAGGGAAAGCTCCCTCTCACTTTTCTTTTTCCTTTGTCTGGCCAAGGTTAGGAGGAGTTTAGATTTGGTGGTTCTTGTGCCATGGATTCTCTCCCACCTACTCCTGGAAGTTTAATGAAGAAGCTTTCCCACCTCACAGTGCTGCCCACTGCTTGCATTGTGCTGTCTGGCGCATAACAAATGTAGTGCTTAAATTGACTAGATATCATGAGTCAGCCCTGCACATATCCTCACTCACAGATCTTCTGTGCTTTTTTCCCTGTGCTTCCGTTATGGGCATCTACAAGTCACCCATGTAAGGTGAAACAAAGGAGGGCATGCATAAATAAATGAAACCCTCTAATAGGCCTTTATTTCCCAGCCTTTCAGTTCATTTAAGCATCCATTAAAACCAATCCTCTAAATATGAAAGGGGTGAATAAAGAGGCTGTTATCCTTGGGTAGCAGTGCTTGAATGTTGGTCTCTGCAATCTCATTTGAAAGGTTTTCAGCCTCTCCTGTGAATACTTCTTATAGCTTTTTGTACTGTACGTATTTGTGATGAATGTTGCTTTGCCATAATTGCAAGCATTCTAGTTAACTGTGCTTACAAACATGATTATAGTGCTGAAGGTGAAACACCCTCCTGTGCTGGCTGCTACCCTGAGCATATTTACAAGCTCAAGCATGCCTAACTGCACTTGATGTGCTGTCATTTACATATGTACGCATGCAGGTGCACACTAGCACACACACTATTCCCTTGTGTGAACAGGCTACTTGTGGATCCAGGCAAACACTGCAGACAGATCTATATAACAATGCCCAACACCCACCCTTATTTAAAGAGGAGGCTGCTTGAGGAAGAAGGTGGGTGTAGAGTGAATAAGCAATGGGTGGAGGAGATACTTAACCCTGTCTCCTCCTGTTTCCTGTCATGTTTTGTGCAAGGGTTTGTAGCTCGGGGGTTAAGCAGGTACTTTGCATGCAGGTCCCAGATTCTATCCTCTGCATCTCCAGGAAAGGCTATAAAAGCTCTGGCTTGAAAGCCAGAAGAGCAGCTGCCAGTCAGTGTTGACAGGACTGTGATAAATGAAACAAGGCTCTGACTTGGTGCAAGGCAGCTTCTTGTGTGCCTGTGATGCTTGCTTTCCTGTAGGGCCCCTAATGTTTGCCCACCAAGGGGAACCAAGTGTCTGGGGCCCTGCAGGGAGAGCAGCTTTCGGAGCACAATGCGGTTCAGAGCAGAGGAGCAACAAGGCAGAAGAGATTAAGCCCCTCAGCCTTGCCTCTTCTGCACTCCAAATCATTTCCTCCTGAAGCGGCCTTTCTGTTGTTGTTTGGCTAATGTTGGCTAATGTTAGTTAGTGCTTCAGCCTACATTACTGGCCATGTGGCAGCATTTGAATCATTATAGAAAGGGTCGATTATATCAAGAGCTTTTGCATAGCATCCTATGCATTTATTTACCACATCATAATTTTCAGTTTATTATTAATGGGCACAATTTATGTCCCATTGATTTCTGTGGTAGAGCTAAGCACACCCTCATTCTCTCTCCATTTCTCACTCTTAATAAAATCAATGGATTGGTGGGGAAAACAACATTGCTGTTCCTCAGCCCCAGTGAGTGAAATACACAGCTGAGGGTAGAAGGCACGTAAGGACAGTGCTTCCCAAGTATTCTCCTGCAGCTGAAACACCCAAAGCAGAGAGAGATTGTCAGATGTATTGATAAGTGCATCATATTCAGGGATATAGTCAAAGAAACGGTGCCTAATTCTCCTGCTCCAACTTCTTTAATGAGTAGTGGAATGTCTAACATTTCCTAAATAATATGGCTGGGGAAGTAATTTACCTGCCTACTCTCCATATATGACAATTAAAAGTTGTTTAATTTAAAAAAAATAACTTCTGCTGTGATCTTCTGCTTTGTTTTTTCCCATTCAGTTACCATTTACAGTTGGTACAGATTTCCACGGATTTCATACAGAATACGGAAGTGGCTTCCCTAGCAGGTTAGTATTTTTGAACCATTATTCCACCAAGTTGTTTCTTCTGTAAAAGCCATTGAACCAGTGCTGATAGAACCTATTCAGCTATGGTGGCTTCTGAGTCACTGTAGTTTAGTGCATTGTCTGAACCCAACCCTCCTCCCATAGGGCGGATATAAGCCTTATTAGCCACCCCAACTAGCCATGGCTTGTAGTTGGAACCCAACTACAAAAAAGGCATGTTCAAGTCAAACACCAGGGACTCCCTTGATAAGGGGTGCAAAAGGCTTGCCACTCTAGCTGAGGGACTAGCAAGCAACTACCCAAGCACCATAACATGCCAGAGCAGCAGCTGAGGAGAGCTGGGAAAGACTTCTCCCTTCCCTGCTAGCAGAGGGGGAAGAGGGAGGCACACTGCAACACACGGGGAAGCCACTCACAAGGTGGGAAGCTTGTCCCTTCAAATCACAAGCCTTGTCTCCTTCCCCAGGTCTTCTAGTTCCTGAGTTGCTACCCATTTGGGATGAATTGCAAAACCAGTGGGACTAGATGAAGCTTCCTAGAATATTCAAAATTCCCTGAGGATCCTGCTGGGAAGGGGGCTCAAAAGGAGTGACCCTCAAACACTATTTTTTCCAGGCTCTTGAGGGAGCTGGGGAGGGGGTGCCCTTGTGCCTCTGTTACCCATACATGGGAAAGTGAGGACATGAATACCTTGACCCTGACCAGACAAAAATGAGAATTTTGCTGTAAATGATGCTTTCCA